GGGGGGGGTCGTGTAGTGTGCGGTGAATGGATGGCCTGCTGAATGGCATTGTTGTCGCCAGAAACAAACTGCGGGGACAGGTGCCTGCGCGCGCAACACTCGCTCTCTCTCTCTCTCTCTCGTACCCTTTGCTTGCCTCTCGCTCTCTGTCTCTATCTAACTCGCACCCTACCGCCAAGCGGGATGCTTCCTTGGCTCCCCGCCTTTATTTTAGAACCACAATTGAGTGGCTTTGTCTCATTTCGCACGCTCCCTTGCTCCCGGCGACCCGACCCCTGGCACAGCCAGCCACCCCGCTCTCTCTCTCTCTCTCTCTCTCTCTCTCTCTCTCTCTCTCTCTCTCTCTCTCTCGCTCGCTCGCTCATCGCTGACGCGGAAGCCCTGCCTCCCCAATCTGCGAGGGTCTAAATAAACCCACAATGCCCCTGGTGCGATGCGCTGCGTGCGGGACGGCAGCGGTGGGACCCATGCTGAATGGCGGCGCCCCCTTCTGTTCTGCCACGCTCGCTGAGCGCCTTCACTCATTCAATCCAATCCTCCCCTCCCCCGCGACCACAACAGGTGCACTGCATTGTCACACCCGCCCCGCCCCACCCCACCCCGTCCCGCTCTGCTGCCCTCGCATTGTCTGGCACGCTTGTTGCACGCGCGCAGAATGACTTATTATATTTTGACCCAAAACTATCCCCCCCCCCTCCCCCGCTTTACAAGTGTGCAACTGCTCACAACACTTGTAAACGAGCAACTACCGGTTGAACATGTTCAAAGCAAAGTGTGCATACTCCGGAGTTGTGTACAACTTGCGAGCGTGCAACACTCCTCTGACGTGCACTTTCTACACAATGACCATCCAAGTCTATGGAAGTGTTCAAACAGAGGGAGTTGCACACTTGCAAGTGCACACCCACCGAGTGGCACACTTACACGTGTTTATCAGTTGCACGCGCAGTTTCTCATAGTAGGTATCAACATAAATATATAAAATCAAATGAATTAAAAACACTATTTTGGGGTTTCGTTTTTTGCAGTAAACGGTGAGCTTCTCAGGCGCCCGAAAAATCGCTGGTTTCGTAAAAGTTGTTGAAGGGTATTTAACATATTTAACACGTTTTGGATACTTTTTTTCTATGGGTTTTCGGGAAAGCGTGGGCGTATACCCCTCGTGCGGGTCGGCGGCGTGGCGGCGCGGAGTATCTGCAGGACGCAGTTTGTCTCCTCTCGTTAACGGTGCGCTGGGCTAAGCCCGGCGGTGTGTGGAACAAATAATGTAGGCGACGACAAAGGTGAAGAGTGAGGCGCGAGGAGAGAGAGAGAGAG